CACTCAGGCTGGGAGTTAGGTGGTCTGACATCCCATTTCACACTTTCAGGAAAGTGTGAGGAAGTATGGCCCAATTAACCTGCCCAGTGAGGCCTTCCTGTTAATTTAATTCAGTTGGGCTGCTTCCTTAGACTCTTACTAGTATCTTCCTTCTCATTCTAGCCCTGGAATGACCTCCCAGTGATCTGGAAAGCATCTGCCTCAACCAGTAAACCCTCTAATTAGTCTCCCTGACTAATACTAATCTATCCTTCCCAGCTGGTTTATGAGAAAGTGCATTCCCTAGTCATGCCAGATTATTCCTCTGTGAACCTCACCACACAGACCCACGGCTCCCTGGGCTTTCTGTGTTGTTCCAAAGCCTGGAATGTCTTCTCATTATTTAAGACCAAACCAAGTGACACCTTGCCCACAACGCGTTTCACTCTTCTATCTGCTCTTGCCTTGTAATTTTGTATGTTTACTCTGGTTAGTATCTCATTCTTACATCCTAACTAGTTGATTTCCTAGGCCTAGAAGACCAAACCATACTATGTATATTTTCCTAGACTTAATTACTGACATACTGTCTGGTACATTGTAGGGTATCATCAAAAATAGAAGTAAATGTCATCAAACTGGGAAGGAAATTTAGGCATTCCCATGTGCAATTCATTTAACCCTCAAACAACCCTGCAAGGTAGGAGGTGTTATTAAGAACACTGAAGCTGAAGATTTTAATTGATTTGCTCGTGAGCAAATAGGAAGTAAGGAGTAAGAATTGGGATTCTCAGTAAGGTCTCTGTGGCCCTAAAACCTGGGGCCTTTGCATCCTGGACACATGACTAATGCCAAGTTAGGTGATGAGACTCAAGGTGCCAGATTTCCAAGCAGCTGTCTTAAGTGAAAACTGCTCAGACCCACTCAAATCACACCTCTACTCAACAAAAGAGGTGTTATTAGAAAAAGCACAGCAGGGAAGTGACTTTTGCCTTCATGGCACACTCATTGTGTATTATTAGACCACTGGGCATTTCATTTTGAATTGTTAACACTGGCAGCTTCACAATTTCCTTGCCAGAACCAAGAATGTAAAAAGAACTAGGGCACCAATTTGTCTCTGGGTAGCAGGTGCTGGGAATTTGTTATGCTCAGTGTTCAGGAAGGTGTGAGATGCCAAGCCTCATCCACAAAGCACCTGAGAGAACATTCAGTATAATTCTTTCTGAGAGAAGGGAGACTGGCAGACTTTTAAGGGTCCCTTTGGGAACCTAGAATCAGTGACTTCATCACAGTAAGATGTCTCAAATCTCCTGCCAGCTCTTGCCTCATGGTCAACATTTAAACTATGTATTCAACATCAGTGATGTGCTAGATGTTGCAGAGGATATAAAAATCCTCTGAGGGACTGGATGAGAATGGAGCAACTCAGCAGTAAATCCAAACCAGAGAAATACCAGCACCTGCGCATACCTTGAGGGAGGACAGGAAGGAAAACAAGCCACTTTAACTGATGTTTAAAAGGCAAATGTGGCTTTGTAGATAACAGCCTGTAAAATGTGCCTATGGGAAGAGTGCCTTTGAGAGTACCCATGCTTCGACAGGGTGGGGCCACTTTCCTTAGGTGGTGAGTCTCCAAGCCCCATACTCCGGAAGTGACAGGAATGACTCGGTAGCTTAAACACTTTTGCCTTCCTGAGTGTTTTATAAATATAAAACAGTGGTTCCATGGTAATACCCACATTGCATGATTGTTAGCTGACCAGTGGGAATCTTCTTGACTAGTCCTGTGGTGTACTTTGGGTAAACCAAGTCACCATGTGAGCCCTTCACTAGGTGCCTACACAGATGACAGTGAATGAGCCCTATTAGATCTCTCACGTACTTCACCATTCTTAAATGGAATCTCATAGCTTTGCACTTATTTTAAAGATTTTTTTTAACTCAACTGTAAATTTTCAAGTAGCCAAGTACTTTTTGCTAAAAGCAGGATATTCTCTATTGCATAAATCACAGCTTTTGGGAATCTCCACAGATCTACTTCCTTTCAAATAAGCTATTATAGCCCCATTTTTCAGAAGTAGAAGAAAAAAAGGATTCTCAGAGAGATCAAGACTACAAAGACAAGCTTATTGGAGTGAGATCTTAGAAATATCAAGGACTTCATTCCAAATGCAGTAACAGGTATCTGGAAAAATATGTAATAACATGACAAGTATTTGGTGACTATCTGGACAGACTATCTGGACAACTGCAGTGGCCATTCCATAAGGCAAAGATCTGCACACGACTGAAAGTGAGAGAAAATGCTGGCTGATGGAGTGGACAATATTCTAAGGACAGAATGAGAATACTGCTAAAGTTGCAACGATTAATGTTTCCTAGGAGTCATGTTTCACATGAACACAATGTTGCACAACTATATAAAAGCACAGCAATATAAAAGGAGGCAAGATAATTTCCTCTCAACCCATCTTTTCAAAAGATTTGACACAGAAGCAAGAGATGAGCCAAAGGGAAAATGAAAATCCATGGCAATATCCAGCAAAACCATTTTTAAAGGAAAAGACAAAAGGGAGGGGGAAAAGCCCCACAAAATACACAAAGACCAGGGAATCTGTCCTGTAGAAACATACAAATTCACAAGATATGCACTCTAAGTTCCTGCAGCACAGCACTGTTGCTAACGGAGTAGCTGGACTTACATGTCTACAGCAGAAAGTAAGGAAGAATTCATATCAAACTGTTTAGGGTGGCTATCACTAGGTAGGAAGAGTGGAAAGAGAGAAAGAATAGGAGGGGTGTGATGAGAATTTTCACTTTTCTGTTGTATAATCTCTTTTGGATTCCTAGTTTGTTTTGTTTTTACAGGCATTACCTTTTTCTTAAAAGAATGTTTTAAATATTATATTATTTTAAAAAGTTTTTTTAAAAACCTGTCATGTTTGGAGGAATCACTCACTGTCTAGAGTTGAGAGAGGTCTCAGAGCTCCGACTAATCTAATCGCAGCTAATTGCAGCTTCTCAGTCTGGCTGTTTGTGGGGAACTCGGAGAAGGCGTCTCTGGCCCGCAGGCTCTCGGGCCTTAGCGTTGGGCGCTGCCCCGACAGAACGTGGTGCGTGCCGAGGATGGGAAACATCAGACGGGCTGCGTGGTTTTTGCGGTCTCCTCCTGCTCTGCTAGATATCAAGGACGTCTGTACAACAGGGACCCCAGTAACCCCTAGATCCTCCTGGTTCACACCAAATCCTGAGAAATTTGGTAGTCAGCCTCAGAAGGGGTTTGGACATAAAAAACCAAGGTCCACTCTAACCAGTTGATTGGCAGGGCAGCACATTCCCGACAGCAGTGCAGCTACAGTCTAACAGCGTCTCACAGCGTCCCTACAGGCATCGCCGTTAACGTGCCTAGCAAGCACTCGGGCAGTCTTACCATCATCTCAGAGTTTGCAAAGAATTGCTTATTGCCCTGACCTTGCTGTCTTGTGTACTCAAATGGCAAAAATTTACACATTTTAGTAAATACAGGGGCTTTCTTTGGTACCACCTTGATCTCCTTTAGGGCCTTTTTACATTTTACTCTCCACATTCTCCGTCCTGACTCTATACCAGGAAGCACCTTGGGTAATGACATCACCAGGTTGAACCCAATATATTTCTATGGTCTTTACATATCAATGGTGAAGGATACACACTTTTCATGTTCTGTCCCCATTATGCAATTGCCTCAAGGAAAATAAAAACGTAATTAATACATGTAAGTGAGCACTGATTCTCAAACCACTTTGTCCTTGAAGAAGACTTTTTCCCTTCAAATCTTTTTTTTTTAACTAAAAGTCATTTGGTAGCTTTGGGTTTCATTTCTTTAATTTTCTTGCTCATCCTCATGCAGAGATGTTTTGAGAAGAGAAACGGGGGTAAAACAGACAAAAGAAAAGAGAAAAAAGCAGATAAACCAGAAACGGGAAGGGAGAAGTAGTCAGCTCCAGGAGGAAGAGAGAAATGCGCCAAGGTGTGGTCAGGAACCATGTGCCCGTCAGGGCTCTGCTGTCTCTGCCTGTCCCTCCCACTCATCCCTCCTGCCTAGATGTGAGCTGGCAATCTTACCAATGACCTTGAACCAAAAGAAAATGAGAAGGCTCCTACACTCTGATGTAGACACATTCTCTCCAGCCTAAACTGGAATCACTTACAAAGCCTGGGAGCGTGCCATCACCCCAACCACTCCTGGCCCTCTCCACAATTAAATGGCATAGAAAACAACCTTCTAATACTACAGGCCTTGTAAAGATGATCCCTCCTCACCCATTTTGCAGAAAAGGAGAACCTGACATCCAGAGAAATAAGGTCACTTGACCAAGGTCATTCAGATAGAGCAAACTAGAGGCCCAAACTACAGACTGGTTTTGCTCCAAGCTCTTTCCCCTAAGAGCAATTTAAAAGCTACAAAACATACCAAAAAAACAAAAAAATTGTCAACATTGGAGAGATGAAGAACAATTATAAAGAGGCACAAAATACCGTGAAAACAAACTAATCTGAAATAATAACTTTACCTCATCTCTCAGAAGCCCTGTGACAATAAAAGCAGCAGTGGGCTGTTTAAGAGTAATGGTAGCTCGGACAATTTAATTGTGCTGTTTGCTCCTTTACCCATTTGTCGCAGGCAGACACAATAAAAATGTGTGTTAAGACCCCTAAAACTCTTACTCTGAACCAACATTCATTGACCAATGAAATTTGGGGGTCAACAAATACATTTCCTCCTCCACGGGCTTATAGAAATCACATTTACTAGACTTAAAATACCAGGTCCTTTTATGATTCTCAAAACCCTGGGAAAATTTTAAAAGCCTTCCACTGAAATCTGTCTTCTCCTCTGACTTGCACTGGTAACCAATTTCAACTAATGTCGGAGTTTGCTTTGTAAATCGCCTAAGCTCAAACTTTGAAAGAATGTGACCCAAGTAACTTAAAATTCCAAAAGAGGACTTGAGAAGAAGAAGAAAACTTTTCCTTACCCTTAAAAATAACAGAAACAATGGGATCCGGTTTCCCAAATTTCGTTTTAGGGATATTGCTGGCAGATTCCACAATCACTCGAAGCATGGCTCTTCATGGGCAGAAAGCAAGTTAGCAGAGGAAACTGGGCAGACGTGCGCGCGGGAGCTCGGGCCGCACCTCGGCAGGAAAGAAGGTGCCGGAGGGTTTCTCTGCGGAGAGGGAGCGGGGAACGGCGAAGGCGTGGATCTCTGACGGATTATTTACTGAAGGCTCCGTGTAAACTGATACCCAAACTCCCTTAGGCTTCGCAATGCGGCAAGAACACACTTATGAAATGGAGAAATGTGGAAGTGAAAAGGACACAACCTCAGCTAAAAATAATTATGTGCAACAAATGAAACTGAAATATGCATTTGGGGCTAATAAATGTGGGCAGGTCAGGAGACCACCAAGACGCTGCTGCCTTTCAGCAACAATTCGCGAAGACAAATTAATTTGGTTTCTGCCACCCCTTTCATTCTTTTCGGAGCTTCGTGGAATTTTAAAACTTTAGTCTTTTTTTATTTTTTAATTTTACTTTTGCCTTTTCTTGTCTCATGCTGTTGATCACATTGACTCTGTAACCGCTTGTAGAACATTTTTAAAAATTAATTAAAGGGTGCCCCCTACTGTATGGCAGAGGAATAACTGGGTTTATTTCAAGCAAACCTGATCCGGAGGCGGTAACCTGAGTTTTCAAAATTAGTGTACTGA